TATATATATATATATAATATATATATATATATATATATATATATATATATATATAAACAAAAGCTGTTTGATAAACCAAAAAGTTGTAAGGATTTTGGGGACGACCACAAACAAAAATACGCACTCTTAAGCACAGCACCTATATATATATATATATATATATATATATATATATATATACGTATATATATATATATATATATATATATATATATATATACAGGCCGTGAACGTTCTTTTTACTGCCGAACGTTGTCGTTTCCAGTTTCATCATCTCGTACTTTTTTTGAATTTTTTTGACTGAAAGACGTGTTGATCACGTGACCTCGGTGCTGGTAGTACCGGCACAGTGAACAACGCATACACAGACAGTTGATCATTTGCTTTTATTTTGCAAATTTTCATTTGGAGTACCGTTTAATACAAAGGTCATTGTTAATGAAACGTTTGTTTTTCCTTACGACCCAGTGTGTTGTATCTTTACAGTGAAGTGTGTGATAAGTTTGTATTTTATTTTACTTCATTTTTTTTCATTTTTTAGTACGTCTTTTGATACTCACTTGTCTGTAGCAACTACACAGCACTTTATTTGCGGATATCTTAAAAGCAGTATTTTTGAACTGGGAAGAATTCTTTCTTGAATATGTTTTGCTATGTACATGTTTATTTTTTTGCTATGTACATGTTTATTTGTGAATTTTTGATTTTTTTTTTTTTTTTTTTTGTTGGCGAATATGGAGCTTTTTTTCTGTTTTATCTTCTCAAATTTAGAAACAGAGTTGATTTCAAAATTGACAGTTGAAAATATTTTTTATTTTGTTTCTGACTGTATGCTGCTGTTATATGGTGACGTAGATATATTTTTGCCTTTGTTTCTTTGTATATTTTGTTTTTTTTTATTTAATTTGTTAGGTTTTGGTAATTTTTAAGTTAGAATTATCCATTTTTGTGTTTTGTATCGCAAGTCACTTGAGGAGTTTAAAGAGTGTCATTCAAATGACTGATAATTAATCGGTTGATGTTTCATTACGGTAATGTTTTGGTGATTTTTGTCGAGCGTTGTTTATTAACTCTGTTGTTGATTATCATTTCATTGTCTTTATTCTTTATCTCTATGTATTGCTAAATTTCTAACTTCTCATATTTAGTTCACTTTAAAGTTATTTGTTGTAACTCATCTGATTGCGTTACAAACTGTGCGGCACTGATCTAGTTAGGGGAGTCATTTAGAACTTGGTTTCCACTGTAGAACGCAAATTTCGATGATGGAGAAGAAAGAGTGTGTGAAAAATTCGTCTTCGGACAGTAGTGCTGCACAGGGGTATAGCGATGTTAGTGAAGCCCTTCGGGAAGCAAAGGAAATCCTTACCGGAGTTAAGACAGAAGAACATTTATACCAGAACTTCTTGGAAGATTCGACAACAGTTCAGGTATTTCTCAACTTTCGTTTGATGCATTGTATGGTAATTTTTCTTTCAAAATTCTATAAACTGGATTTAGACAATTTAGTGCTGAAGAGTTGAGCGTTCAAGTGATTTTTTTTGTTTAAAGTGGTTGTTAGTTCTTTCGCTGTAAATTCTTATTTGTTGCAGATGTTGAAGTCTGGTAGTATTATGGATCCTGTAGAGGTTCTGGTCAGCAGAAGCATGGTGATTTCTCAACCGAATTCTGAGGATGAAGCGGATGGATCAGGTTCCTTTACTTGTAGTCCTTTTAAGCCAAGTGTTATCAGTTGTTTACGCTTTTTTTTTCGCTCACAACGTTAAAGTGTTTAGAGGATTTATGTACTTTGACTTTTGTATTCAAGAGAAGATGCAAGTGAGCCATAGTCTCTTCCATCTCTGAGGTTGGGACTAGCTAATGGTTATTTAGAAGTCTGAGTAAATTACGTGCTTGAATATCTAGTGAGAGATATCAGACACTATTGAACATTGCGAAATAAACGTTTTACCTTTCTTAAGTTTTTTTGCCAATACTGTTGAAGAATTTTAATTTTGAGAAACTTTTTGCTTTGAAATATTGCGCTTTTTTATTTGTGCAGCACAATAGGAGCATTTTGCTCGTTTCGTATAGATCAGTTCTGAGTTTTTAGTGAATGAGAAGATTTAAGAAAAAGACGTTTAAAAATTGCTTGCGTCAGTCTGCTTAATTTGAGAATTTAGTTTCCAAGTTTTTCGCCAAAGATTTCTTGAACCACTGTAGATTCTAGAGCAGTAGGTAGAAGCTTATGGTTAAAATTTTATGCTCTTTATAGCCTACTCCTATTTGCAGCTTTTAATTTCTTTCATGCCTGCATTTGTTTTCTATTTTTCCTCTTGTCTAGAGGCTATTCATAGTGGAATTTGTGGTTAGTATTTACGTGACTTTATTAAGAGGTAAATTTTTTGCATACCTGGAGTTTTTTTCAAGTGAAATTTTATTGTTATTTTAGTCACATAGTGTTAATGTAGTTCTTTCTAGGTAGTGATGCAGAAGGTGATAAACTGTTTTCACGAATTTTTTCTTGTGTTCATCGCGGCCATCGACGAACACGCTCTCTTGATGAGTTGCATCATGTGTCACATGACGTCAAACATACAAATGTGCGTTATCGCCGCATACGTGGTGATAGCTGGCTGTTAGACGATGGGACTGAACCAGCTAACGGTGGACAGCTTGAGGTCTGTTGAATTATTTGGTTTTTTGTTCATCTTTCATCTTCTACAGGGCAGACGAAACCGCAACATTTGGGAGGTAGTTTAAGCACTACCTTCTTTTAAATATATAGATATATAGGCTATTCCATATCAAATCGCACTCTTTTTTCCTTCATGTCTCAGATTTTTTTAAATTTTACTGATCAGTAGAGTCTAGGGTAGTTTAGAAAAAGCCGAGAAAAAGACCTAAAAAAGTGAGTCCTTCGCCAAGTTACACCTCCTCAAAGGTGGAAAATTTGTCAGGCCGCCACTTGAAATGCCACAATTGCAGACTTGTACTTTATCTTGTTTTCATTGGAATTTTAATGATTTTTAATTTTTTGGATTTTTCATTTTTTAAACTTAAATGCAGGTTTATTATCCTAATTCAGTCAAAAAATCGCAAAAGTAAAATACAAATAAAACTTCAAACAAGCTTGAAAAAAACGAAGTTTTTAATTTTTTAAAAGAAACATATTTTGTGCAGAATTTTTTGCTTTGCAAAATATCAAAATTTGGAGGTGGCGATTTTTCCGTATCGGGAGCGAATGTAAAACCGAAAAAACCCACTATTTTTACAGTAAACCGATATATTTTACAGGGGCGAAACCATCAGGAGCCGCTTCTGATGGTCGCATCGGACAGCTGTAAATATCCAGTATGCTTTAGACGTTGAAAATCTGTCTAAAACGTTGTTCTTTACTTTAATAATATTAACAAATTATTATTCTGCAAAGTTTTAAGAGGTAGTCTTCACTCCAGCGTTTTTTACTTGTGTTTTTTTCTGTAAAAACTATTCAGATAGTATACTTTTTGGCGTCGCAAAAAAGCTTAAGAACTCACTGCTTTACCCGGATAGCTGTTGAGTAAAGGTCTTTCTTAAAACTTCTTATGTTTCTGGAGAACTGCAGCACATTATTTTGAAAAAAAACTATAAGTCGAGCTCCTGTTCACTTGTGCAACCAAAACTGTAACGAGTACGAGATGGAGACGATTCTAAATACAAGAAGTAGAGAACACTGGAGTGAAGTTTACTTCACAGAACCCTGCGAAATAATAATTTGTTAATAATATGATAGTGAAGTACAACTTTCTACAACTTTCTATACAACAGATTTCCAACGTCTAAAGCATCCCAGACATTTACAGCTGCCCGATGCGATCTTCGGAAGCAGCTGTAGATGGTTTTGACACCGTAAAATATTTGGGATTACGGTAAAAATAGTCGGTTTTTTCAGCTTTACATTCCGTTCTGGCTCGTAGCTCCCGACACGGAAAAATCGCCACTTCGAAATTTTGTTATGGTGTAAAGCAAAAAATTCTGCCCAGAATATTTTTTTTTTTCAAATTTAAAACTGTTTTTTTTAATGTTTGTTTGAAATTTTATTTTTATTATATTTTTTTGATTTTTTAACATAATTAGAGTAATAAACATGCATTCAGAAGTTCAAGACATGCCAAATCTAATGAACAAACAATTCTTTTAAAAATTCTATTTATTAAATTTTTTTAAAAACGGTCTGAATTACAAGTCTGCAAAGGTAGGCATATCGAGCAGCGACTTGGCAAATTTTGCAAATTTGAGGGGGTGTAACTTGGCAAGGAATTCACTTTTCCAGGTTTTTTTTTGCGGCTTTCTCTATGCTCACCTGGACTCTACTGATCAGCAAAATTTTAATAAAATCTGAGTTATGAAGGGAAAAAAATGTGCATTCTGGCATGGAATGGCCCATATAAATATGGTGTTTATCTAGCATTTTACTCAAGTGGTTGCGAGAATTGTTTGAACTTAGCTAGCTAAAAGAAGGTTTATTTTTAAAATAATTAAATTGCTTGAAGAAAATTAGAAATTACCAGAAAGCAGAATATGTTATACATTTGCTATCTTTTCTTTTTATATAGTTGTTATTGTTAACGATCGTAAATTTCAAAAATGCGCGAACATATGCTTGATGAAGTTTTAGTGTTAATGATATTGTTATTAGTCGGTTCTTCATGTTCCACTCTTATTTTAAACGAAACAAAATAGTTACAAATAGTTGCAAATTAAGGTTCAGACAACTAAGTCACCGGTTGTATTATTTTGACTGCTATTACAATTGTAGACTAATCTTTTTAGCATAATATTATGACAAGGACAGTAATTTACTCAAACATAAATTTAGATCAATTTTCATTTAATGGGAAGTTAATGTCTGTTTAATCAAATGAGGTCGTCATCACAGTAAAGCTAGAAAAAATTTATTGAATTTCTTGAGGAAAGTTTTTTTTTGAATTTTTGCGGACTTTCTAATTCGTTTAATGCGTATGTGACTTTGGTCTTATTTGCAGGTTGATTTCAAGCAGGAGTGTATCGATGAAGAAGGGAGCCATGTTGTAAAAAAGGTATATTCTTATTTAAGCAAGTGATTAAATGGGAGAACGAACGACTCACGTTTTTAGTTAATGAATACTTCCTTTGAGGTGTTTTTTTGCATAGTATTTGCTAGGTTCGCTTGAATCGAGTTCTCTTGTGACCTTGCCACTACTGTTCAGACATGGGAAGCGAAGTGGACAGTTCAAAAGTTTGAGTATCTGCCAGAGTGGTTGCAAGATAATGAGTTTTTACGTCACGGGCACCGTCCTCCGCTGCCGAGTTTTGCTGAATGTTTTCGTAGCATTCTTGCGTTACATACTGAAACGGGGAATATTTGGACGCATCTAATTGGTTTAGTTTTTAATCTCTATTTGTTTCTTGAAAAATCAATTTATTTTCTGGAAACTTTCTTTTTAGTAATTTTTTCTATCTGTTTGACCTTTGCTTTCACAGGATGCGTTGCTTTTGCTTTGCTTGCAACTTGGTTTCTCACAAGACCTGATACCCACATCAAGTTTCAAGAAAAATTGGTTTTCTCATTCTTTTTCGCTGGAGCCATTTTATGTCTTGGAATGTCATTCACTTTTCATACTGTCAGCTGCCATTCCATTGGTGTAGTTCGTCTGTTTTGCAAGTAATTTTTTGAGATTAATTAAGGAATCTTTTGGTCAACCGGGTTAGCAAAAGTAACCGACGAATGCACTTTGGAGGCTGTGGAAAGTGGGGAATTGAATTTTTTTAATTTATCATCTGACAATTTGAATTTTTTAGCCAGTTGTTTATAATTTTTTAAGAAGGATCATGGATCTTGATGTATGTATATGGTAAGATTACGGTTTGTGTTGATTTTGTTTTATGCACGCTAGTTTACCAAATTCTAGACTTGATTATATGGGTATTTCTCTACTTATTATTGGTTCGTTCATCCCTTGGATATATTACGGGTTTTATTGCCGCCGGGAACCTAAAATAACGTACATTGCTATGGTTTGCGTGCTAGGAATTGGTGCAATTACAGTGTCTTTATGGGATAGATTTAGTGAGCCAAGATATCGGCCATATAGAGCTATTGTCTTTTGTTCGATCGGTTTAAGCGGTAACTTTTTTTTAAATCTTGTTAATAATTTGGGAAATTAATTTGAAATTTTGCATATCGCCTTTATAGTTTGCTTTTTCAGAAACTAAGATTTGAAACTGATAAAATGGAAGAAGTTTTAGGTGTTGTACCGACTGTGCATTACGTGATTACTGACGGCGTTGTTTCGCTGTTTGAAGAAGGTTCTTTCCACTGGTTATTGCTGATGGCAACTTTATATCTTGTAGGGGCCCTATTATATGCCACGCGGACGCCTGAGCGTTTCTTTCCTGGAAAATGCGATATTTGGGTTAGTTTTCAAGTGTTTTTTTCAATGGTCTTCAAGTTCTTTGAGAATTTTAGAATTCATGCTTATAGATTGGTTTGATTCAACAATTGGTTCTAAAATTAGTGATCTAGCTGGGAACGCTTTCACTTTAAATTTCATCTGTTGTATTTTTAGAAACTTTATTTATTCACATATAGTTATACTGTTAAGCTGAGTTTTTTACTTTTCGTTAGAATTTTTTATTTTTGGGAGATGGGTTTAGCT